CTGAGGTTATGCTTTGGTAAAGTGATATTTTTCTCTTAATACAAATGAGAATAGCAGGTGTGTTGGCTCATGCCTGTAATCTCAGTACTTTGGGAGGCCAAGACAGGAGGATCTCTTTAGCTCAAGAGTTCGAGATCAGCCTCAGCAATATAGTGGGACCTCGTCTCTACAAAAAATACAAAAATTAGTTGGGCATGGTGGTACACACCCATAGTCCCAACTACTTGGGAGGCTGAGCTGGGAGGATCACTTGAGCCTGGGAGACCAAGGTTGCACTGCGCTGGGATGATGCTACTGCACTCCAGCCTGGGTGACAGAGTGGGTCCCTGTCTCAAAAAAAAATTTTTTTTTTTAAAGGCAACTAAGATTCTATTGCATAATATTACAAAGCTCCTAAACCAGTCTTCTAATTCAAGTGACAGTTACATTTCTATGTATTGATGTGTATTCTCTGCTACGCATTCTGCTAGGCACTTTTCATTCATTATCTTACTGAATTCTTACAGCCACCCTAAAAGAGAAAGTGAGACTCAATGATATTAAGTAACTTTCCCAAATTAGAAAGGCAGTAAATGTCAAAAATAACAAACAATACCTCATTGTCTAACACCAAAGCCTTTGTTCTTACTGTTACACTCTATTTCTAGCAGAAACTGCACAACATTATACAGTCTCTATTCATTTCATTATTCACTAACACGGGAATCCGGCGATTGGACCAGAGCAAAGAGTAGACAGAGATTTACATTCTTGGTTCTTTATGTCAACAGCACTTGGTTAAATACATTGGTAAAAGGTAATAATAAAATGAATACACTTCATTTTAGCCTTTATCTGTTGTATCTCTCATCCATGTAATATAAACAACCATCATAAGTTTTCAAATACTCTTCAAGTGTTTCATATATTTACAGGTTTATTATTCAATGAAACCATCTTCTGTATCATTCTGATCTCTCCCAACTCTGACCTAGAATGGCATTAATATCTAGCATGTTTATCATATATTTTGACATTTGACCTTATACGTCTCATAAACACCAATGAAATTTGAAGTTCCTTGATTGCAAGAACTATTTTAATATTTTGGGAGGAATCCCTGAAGCCTCTCGTACACTTTTAGATATCAAGTACTTATTCAAATGCTTCCTAAATTGAATCATAGAGTAATGATTTTTGAAATAGTTGAAAAGAGAAAATCTAATAAGTCACAGGCCTCTATCTTGGTATTCTATTTGAGTCTGCATTGATTTGCATCATGTTATATTAGAATGTCAAAAATTTCCAATGAAAGTGAATATTTGAGAATATAAACATGTGAAAACGAAGGGGAAAAAAACAGTAGGTAACAGAAAAAAAAAAAAAACGTGAAAAGAAAACACTCCTGCTTTCCTCCTTTCTCACACCTCATTGGTGAGGAGGACATTTCCTAGTGATTTCAGTGGTAAGCATATGGACGTGCTGTTCAGGAAGGCTTCATGCAATATAAATACTATGAGGATAAAACTGAAAACCCTAGGCTATGGGAAAAATTGTTTTGTTGAGTTTGCTTAGAATTTGGAAGAAGCCTGACCAATACTGAGTAGTAATAGTCTTCTATTAAATTGTCATGCCATTTTTCATTATTTCTTAATTATTAGACATGGTGACAATGGGAAGACGTGAGTGAATGATTTTGTTGGCAAATATCACGATTTATTTTTGAGATAAGTTCAACTGATGGAAAAGCGTCCCTGGAATGATAGAGCTAATTAAGCAAATTTGGAAATGCTTTAAAATTTTGGAAAGATAGAGGAAAGGACAAATTAGTATATTTTAACCTTGATAATGGGGTTTAAGGAAGCAAAGTAAATAAGGATTATTTTTATTGCATTTGCAATGTTCAATATTATCTAATTATGCTTCCTAAAAGTAGATTATTTTGTTTATTTTTGTGATGTATATGAGAAAAGTGATTACTGCTGAGTTTTCTAACTTATCTATTGTTTATAGACTCCGTGATATTAAAGTTCTAGGGGCTATAAAGGAGAAAGAACAGTACCCTGGGTGTACTCTCCCACGGTTAGGCAACACCTTAGAAGTGTCATAATAATTCATTGATTTCATTGTATACAATGTGTACACTGACTATATAAACACTGAATTCAATATATAACTGACTGAGCACTTAGTATGTGCCTGACACAAACCTAAACACCTAGACATTAGGTCATTTACTTAACAAAACCATCAGGAGAGGCAGATGCTATTTGCAGGGTCCTTCTACAAAGGAAAGAATCAGGGAGGCAATGTTTCCAAGGTCCCTCATCCCAGAGGAGCAGAACAAAACTTGACTCCAGGACTCCTGGACCAAAGGCTTCATGAGCCACATTACATCATTCAACATAAACCACAGGCTTATGAATTCCAGGGGATGCTGGTGGGTCCTAAATATTGCAAGAGCTGTATATAGAGAGGATTCTAATGCAGAAGGAAAGTAACCATGAGCACCAAAACCATGGTGACTTGTGGGGCAAAGTGTCTCCTCATTTGGGGATTTTCTGCTGTTATAAGAAGGAGGTCTGTATTACTGGAACTCCAACTACAGTTTATCAGTGGACCTGGTCCACGAGTCCATTCAGAGCTAGCAAGCAAGATCTCTTGTGATAACCAGTATTTAGTCTGTGGGGGACAGGCCTTTGCACTAGGCTTTAAAAAATATTAGTCCTGAGGGAAGCTGGGGGCTGGAAGTAGCCAAAGGAAGACCTTGGGGACTCCTAACCTGGATGTATACACACACTACTTCTGGCTCTCAGATAGAAATCAGGCAGCTGGGATCACACACACACACATTTTCCACACAAACTGCTGCACCTCCTTTCTAAAATGTGGGGCACACACATACACCCCTCTAATTCAATTAAGCAAAATAAAACAAAAAATAGTCTGCAGTGAAATACTCTTTAACAAGTTTGTAAAAACTGACTACAAATGATCACTGATACCATATTAATATTATATCATAACTGATTTGATTTTTACTTTTGACTGTTACTTATATCTGCCAAAATACATCCACACTGGGTTTTGGGAGGAGTTGAACTTTAATATTTATGTTTGTCTTTAAAAACTTCACTCAGACCATGCATTTAATGTCTTCCGAAGCTACCTATTTAGTATGTCTAATACTATGTTCAAAGAACACTAATCTTCATAAATACACATCTTGTCTATGAATTAAACAAATAGGTTCACTGGCCCACACAACATATACTTGCTACCAAAGGATTATTGTGGTTTTAAAAATAATAACAAACAGAACTAATTAGAAACTATAAATAAATATTATATTGAAGCTACCGTTTTGAATAATTATCTTCTTTCTTCTCTCCACAACTTAGAAGCAAATGGAATTTTTTATTTCTTCCAACGGAGTTAAAAATTGAAACAAGATCAGTTTCTTGACATTGTGATCTATCACAGACTACAATGATATTCATAGGAGGGCAAACGTGTCAGTGATAGACTTGGGAATATGGATTTAATAGAAATACCACATTTTGATCCTGAGGAATTCAAAATATTGAAAGGTGAAATAAAATCATGGAATATATTTTACAACGAAACTGCCTCTAAGAACTATGGGCAAGATTTGCATTGGCTTTGTGGAATGTACATTAAGATTTTTCAGCATACTTCTGTGTTCAGCTGGGAGATATTATGTTATAACTTTCATGCTTCAATTCGTGTTAAATTTGATTTTCTGTGTGTATGTTAAGCATGTGCTTAAAAGACCTCAATTGTAAGAAATAAGAAAGGGAATAAAAAAAAAACTCTTAGCACTTTTGTAGGAAATATTAATGTAGTTTTTCAAAGCACAGATTATTTTCCATCAATAAAAGTAGGATACGAGACTACAGTTAGCCAAATGCAATGCAAATTTAACCACATTTTTAAAATGTAATTTTTATCCTGTATGTCTTCAATCATCCTTAGAGTTTATAAACTCAGTTTTATTTCCAGATTATACTGGATAGAAGGTAAAAATTAACATAAAGTGAATCATTGGTAAAGTAAAAGTAAAATGTGCTTTCTCTGTTTGATTTGGTATTCATTAACTCACAATATTTCTTCACACAAAATAAGTAAACAAACAATGGATGCTAATCTCTGAAACTTTATCTTGAAAGATTTAAATGATGTTCTTGAAAACGTCAAGTCCTTTTACTGGCTCATATTGAGGAAAAACAACATTGATAATTATTGCATTATTGTTACTAGTTCAGAAAAAACTCAGATTTTTCATAAATTCTAGTTAGCTTTGCAGGAAGATAGTTTCTGATGTGTTTTGGAATTCCTAAATATCTAACAAATGCTGCTATGGTTTAAATCAATGCTCAAATATGCAGGTAACAAGGAAAGAAGCAGGATACACTTTGAGATTAATGGTGTAAAAGGTAAAGAATAAGGAAAAGGATGATTAAAACAGCCAAACAACCAGTTGTTGAGTCAGAATTTTCTGTCAAGAGAATGACCACCTGACTGAAAAGAACAGAAGAAAAACTTATCAGAAGGAAAAGTGAAGCTAATGGTTAAAGAATGTGTTTTGGGAAACACTCATTCACTGAAAAAGTATTTCAGTCCCCTAGACCATTTGACTAAGAACCAGATTTTTTGAGAGGACTTGCAAAATAGATCCAATAACTGCAGTAATCTTTGAAGGAACTTAAAAGATTGGGGAGGAGCCAGAAGACTGCAGGCTGATGCCGACACATGCATATTCACTTTACGATAAAGGAAAACAGTAAATTCTTCAAAATATCGACAGAGGAGCTTTATACTATTATTACAAAAGCTTCCATAATAACTTATTAGGGATTGATTTGTATGGTGCTAGGAAACAATTTATTGTACCCTGGCTACACTAACCATGAGTTATTTCAAATAAAATAATGAGACACAGACAGGATTGTGGTTAAGAGTGATTTTTTTGTGTTAAACTTTCAAGACTAATTTCCTACCTGTTTGATGTGGCCAAGTAATTTCCACTCCTGTATCTTGGCTTCTCCTGTGTAAAATAATAATAATGGAACTTCATAACATTGATGTTATATATAAATGTATTTAATAGACCTTCATGACATCATAAGACAATAATTTGCATGTCTCCTTCTGAGTGAATAATCAAAAATAATATCTCTAACCGTAAATTTTATTCTTTCAGAACATATCAGACATGTATAGCTTGGCACATGTCTGGTTTTAACAAGGCAATTGCGAAGTTCACTCATGACTGTCTTCTACATACAGTGGAGAAGAAAAAAATTTTTTTTACAGAAATAAAATCAAACCAATGTTTAGTAAGAGGAATCCAAAACCCATTTCATAAGCAGACCAATTGAATCATTTCAAAAACTCTAGTGTATAAGTCTGAATATGCTACAACTTCTGGCCATAAGGTTTGCTTCAGACAGCAGCTCTTAATTTGAGAACCTTCCACCTTAAAAATTTCACTGAAGTGAGCAAGTCTGTGTTCAAGAATAACGGGATATCAACCATCCCTGACTGGCAGAAACAAATGAATTTAGCAGTCAGGTAACATCATTCCAATGTGAGCCAAAGCAACATCCTTTAATCTAATGTATGTTCATAATATTTATACTGCAATTGGGTTAGTTTGTATACATTATCCATCCCATTCTTTCAGTGATTTAAAAAGTACAAGAGTGTCATATTATGAAATGCCTCTACTTAAAAAAATTAAAAGATGGTAAGAATGAAGGTAACCATGGGCGCCATGGTGTGCACTAGGTCAACAGCAGGGATGATACTGAAAGATAAAAAATAAACTGGAAAAGAATGTAAAAGGTTCTGAGCTGATCCACAAGGAAGAAAAATCGGTCCTAAAAAGTAAGTTTTGAGTGTGTAGATGAACAGAGGATCAGTATCCATCCTGGGTGCCTGTCAACCTCATGTTAATTTAGGAGATAAAAATTTGTCCAGGAAGTTAATAAGCATGGTAACAACTACTAAGGATCTTTTGTCAAAATCCAAGGATAATTATAGTTTCCAGGCATGTTCACACTTGTACACAGTGCAGTGAGGGAGTTAAGTGGAAATCCCCAAGAGGAGGGATCTATAACAGGGAATGATTCACAACAGAATATCTAGCAGCATAAAGTTGAAGAGCATGCCTGGTTTTAAGGTAGAAGATAAAGAATGAAGAGTCCTGGTCATGCACAGCCATGTCATTCTTATTCATTTATTTATCTTTTTCAATGTTCAAGATTTTAAAACAATTTCAAACAGCACTAAGAAGGTAGAAACTTTCATAACAAAAATCTGAACTAATAGTTTCTTTAAAAATAATGTATTTGGCAAGACTTACACACCATATCCCTAACTCATGAATGACCCCTACTTAACCCATGAGGCTTTTGAGTTTATGATTCCCATTTTAAAACTTCTAAAAAAAAAATGACTCACAATTCTACAGGTTAGAAGTGAACTGGGGATTGTATGGTGAATGCTTTTTCACCTTGACCTAACCCAAAGATGCTGAATGTAACTGAACTCCTCTAACTGAAAAATAAATAATACATAACGAGTTTAAGCAGTGGTTAATATAAAAAGAGCCCAAAGTAGCAAGCTTTCTTTTTCTCAACTACTGATTATTGACAATGCTACTTGATTGTTTGTATGGTACTTTCATAAAGATGTTTAAACTCAGAATTAAGCAGAGGCCAAAAAACATAGAGTTAGATGCTCAATTTATGGAAAAAAAATCTTGGTTCACAGATTCATAGGAATTTAGAGCTGCAAAAGCATTTGGAGATCATCTGGTGCAACTCTTACAGAGGTAACAATTTACTAACTTATATGCAAAATGTCAAAGCCTTTGAAGCTCACTTTCATTACAAAGTACAAAGTAATTCCAGAAATAAATTTGGTAAGTTGTAATACAAATGGTATTAATTGGAAAGGCTATAAATATACTTAATTTTCTCTATATAATTATATATTATATATAGGATTTTATGTGTGTGTGTGTGTGTGTGTGTGTGTGTGTGTGTATGGAACTGAACATACAAACAAAGTTGTATACATATTACAAAGTAGGCCTGTCTCAGCTCTCTTGTCTCTCACCCCTGTGACACAGTCAGGATGCTTTAATGAATACCCAAGGGATCCTGCAACACAGTATATTCCCTGGCCTGCTTGGAAATCAGACAACCGTTCCTCTTGCTGTAAGTCTTCCATACAAAGGCTTTCCTCTCTTTTTTTCCCAACAAGTAAGACCCTATGTTTATCAATGGGGTAAGAAAATGCTGATTACTCACCTCCAATAAGTAAACTGAGTCAATAACCTACAGGTATGAGACAGTCAGGGAGGTTGGTAATGAATGTCCTACTCATTCGCCAATATAAAAATAAATTACCAAATAATAAATGCTGATTCTTTGGAATTTGGAATAGCTAGCTTTATATTTTTTTAAAAAGAAAATTCTGTGCATGAGTCAGAATCATTATCATAACTTTGCTGTGTTTGCAAATTTCTGGCAGGTTAATTTTTGACAGCTGGGGAAGAGAAAAGCTTCCAACCAATTTTCTAAATCATATTTAGGCAAACATCCAGGCGCAATCACCTGTAGACTCCTGCCTAAAGGCCCAGGTACGTTTTGAGAAAGCAGTCAGATTCTTGAATGATTTACAAAGTTAACCATTAGAGCTTCTCATATAACTGGCTTAGGCTGAAAATAAGTAACCAAAAATACACGCATGACACACCTTAACCTCAGTGTCCTCACCTCACTCGGAGGAGAAAAAGCATCCAGAAAAGGCAAGTCTACCCTGGATATTCAAATCATTTTCAGATATGAGCCTACGTAAGGTATTCCTAGTCTGAAGTCAATAAAAATAAAAATTAAATAGCAGACCTGATGATGAGCAGAAGACACTATGGTCATTTAGATGTAAATATATTTCCTTTTTGTTTTTAAAGTTAAAATAGTATCATTAACTACTGGGTGCCAAAATGTCACATTTTGAATAAGGCTACCAGGACCAAAAAAGAAAAAGTTCATCTAATTTGAAAGAACTGAAATTAGCAAGAGTCTAAAATACAGTGATCTGACAAAGCAAGCCATTAGCTGAATTTGATATTATTGCGCTGTCACTTCCAAACAAATAACAGGGATTAATTTGGAAAGTTAATGAGACATTTACATCTGAAACACAATTATAACTACAGCCTCTAGAACTAAGTTTTAAGAATATTCATTCACTGTCATTCAAAAATTTGAATCACTTATTTGTTTGTAATGAACACTAACTTTAAAACATTTATCAGTCACTTCTTCAAATCTTTTGACAAAATAGTGTAATGATGATGTTAATGATACAATATTAGTAAATAATATACTGAGTTAAGAATAATTTACCTCCTGTTGTTTCTTATAGCTTTTAAAAGGAGCTACAGACATGTTATTTAATTTAATGTACACATAATGAACTTATATGCATGATACTGATCTAGACATTTTAAAAATAGTCAAATTTAGTCCTCATAAGAACCATAGGGGCTGGACACGGTGGCTCATGACTGTAATTCCAGCATTTTGGGTGGCTGAGGCGGGTGGATCACCTGAGGTCAGGGGTTCAAGACCAGCCTGGCCAACATGGTGAAACCCTTCTCTACTAAAAATACAGGTTATCTGGGCATGGTGACAGGCATCTGTAATCTCAGCTACTTGGGGAGCTGAGGCAGGAGAATCACTTGAACCTGGGAGGTGAACACTGCAGTGAGCTGAGATCAGGCCAATGCACTCCAGCCTGGGCAACAAGAGTTAAACTCCTTCTCCAAAAAAAAAAAAAAGAACTTTAGAAAAAGAAACTTCTGCAAGAAAAATAAAGTATGATTGAGGATCACAATGCCTTTTAAATAACAAGAAAAAACTTATCCTAGAGTTGAGAGTGTGAAGATCCAAGATTAATAAGATGAAAATCTAGGAGAATAATAATTATAAAGTATTATTCTCAATAATTTATAAAATTTAATCCTAGAGTAAGTCAATCAAACTTAATCATGTTTACTCCTTGTTGTCTTTCATCCTTCCATAATGAGCAGCCAGGCCCTGGCAATGACCACAAGTTGCCTGACACTATCCCAAGAAGTCTTAAACGTCTGTGTCCTTCCACCTTGAATCTGGGAGGGCTATGAATTCCTTAACTAATAGACTGTGGCAAAAGTGATGCTATGGGACATCTGACGTCTGAAATGAGGTCATCAAATGCCATGCAGCTTCCTCTTGGTCACCTGATGCACCTGCTCTCTGAGCGTTCCCCTTCCAAACACAGCTGTCAGCTGGGAGAAGTCCAAGTCACATGGGGAGACCACGTGTAGGTTCTCTAGTCAGCAGTCCAGCGAGGCACAGCCGTTGGCCAGGGCAGCCCAGAAACCAGGCATATGAGTGAAAGAGCCTCCAGACAATCCAGGCCCCAGACCTTTGCAACCCACTCAGTCTTTGGAACCTTCCCCACTGAGGCCCCAGACATGATGGAGCAGAGACAAGCCCTCACCTTCACTGCCCTGTCAGAATTCTGTCTCTACAATTTGTGAGCATAATAAAATAGTAGTTATTGTATTCCATTAGATTTGGGAAGTTTGTTATACAGCAACAGATAAATGGACTACCACTCTGGTTAAATTATCTAATCATCTAAGTTCATTTCCATAAAGGAAACAGTAGTAATAAAATAATTTTAATGATCTCTTGCTCCAGATACATTGTTAATGCTTCATATTTATGATTTTATTTAACACTCTCATTTAATCTATAAAAAAAACTATTATAACTATTTCCATTTTATAGATGAGGAAACTAAGTCTTTCGGCATTTAAGCAACCTGACAAAAAGCACAGAAGTAACAAATTTCAGAACCAGTACTTACCCGGAGTTATTTGTAACTTCTCAGCTGTTAGTAACACACAGCTCATTTGGGAGAAAAACAAATATGCAGTTCTTACATAAACATACATGTCAAAAATGTACTCATGTAAGTATC